AGACCAAATGCGGTCAAGTCCGAGACGAGACCGAGACCATCAAAAAATGGTTTTGAGACCAAGACTGATCTCCAGTACTACAACACTGCCTTTCTGAACATGTGCAGCAAATGGACTGATCCAATATGGTGGACACTGAAGGGGGGGGGCTGAGACACGCTTAATATTATCAGCATTCTGATGACATTTTAGCCAAAGGATTTTTATCAAAAACATAATTAATGTGCAGAAATAAGGAATAGTTGTATTAACCACACATGGAACCATAGTTTTATGGGGCCCCCCAGGAACTTGGGGCCCTAGGTAACTGCCTAATAATCCCCCCCCCCCGATCAAAATAACCATATTTTCAATCTTCAATATCTTATCTCTAAAAGCAGTGGGAATAATGGTTGTTTTCTCTTTAAAATGATAAAAAAATACTCAATATTTTGTATAATTTCTTCCATACCGGTATAATGTCCTCCATGCATTCCTCCGTGGTGGTTACACACGGCGTAGAGGTCATACAGGTAATCTTGTGGGAGGAGAAGGTCAGAAGGTTGATGGTTTTGGCTCGACAGATGTTTCCTGGAGGAAGAGGTGGAAGACCCTGCATGTAGATTCTTCAAGCTCTGACTTCTCTTGGCCACATGGGGGGCCATGTTCAGAGCAGTGAGGGGAAATCGAATCAGGGTTGACAGCTTGTTCCGTCGTTCACCGACCTGTTGGAACATTTCATCAACAGTATAAGCAACCAGGAAAGCTACCTCAAAACAGCAGATGAATAAAAAAAGTTAAAGCAAAGAAAATGACTCTCTTTAGTGATGTTTGCAGTATTTACTCAATTTGGAGCAAAACCAATCATACAACAACATGAAATGTATATATGTGTAAAAGTAGACACCACTGGAGAAACTGTATTTCTGTTCCATTAGAAACCCTCTTTAGATCTCTAGAGAAAGCTTTCAAAACAACTCACACTGAAATAGATTTCAATGCTTTGCAGGACGAATCAAATTAAAAGGAGGAAGTCAGGGTCCTAAATGTAGCCGTCTTCGTTAGGCCGTGGTGAGAAACTGATTATATACCGTCATTATTCATCATTTCTGTGTCAATAAAAGAAATAAACGTAATTTTGCTGTTTTTCCTCTGTGCGCTTGTGGCTGGTATTTCTTTCCCCTTTCAGACACTGCAGCATGTGGGGAATCGTGACTCCGCCCATCCAGTAAGAAGCATAAACCAAGGCTACTTTCACACAGCAGCCTGAGGTGACCTAAATCTGATGTTTATGCCCACATGCGACCTGGATTTGATCTTTTCATGGCAGTTTGAAAAACACCGATCGGATTTTTTCCAATGTGACGCAGGCCGCTTGTAACCTGACTCTGCCAGATGGATTTGCTCCGCATATCCATCTGGAAACCTTCCGTTGAAGTAATTTTGGGAAGGGG